CCGTTAACTTTCTCTTGCGGCACAGGTTGCAGGATAGCTGCACCTTGTCCCTGCGCCGCCTGGCTGTCTTGGCTTTTTCTGCATCGGTTGACATGGCAGCAGTGCTCTTGTTTTTTTATGTCTTTTTTACAACGACTCGAGGAAGAAGAAAGGAAGAAGAAGAGAAACAGGACCGGAGAGGTAAAAGGGAAATCGTTGAGTTGTGGATGGTGGGGGTGTGGTGGTGGTGAGAATCAGCCTTGTCGCCCTTGTCAGTGTGGTTCCGTCATTTGGCAAGGCTGGCGAGAAGTCGCCCCCCCCCGGGGACGGAGGGGAGGGAGGATCGGAGGATCGGCGTCAGCCCACGAACTTGGAACAGCCTGTTGAAGAATGTGGCTTGTCGTTTTACGAAGCAAAGCATCGGCGGGTTTATTGCCGTAAAAAGAGGGGGGTCCCCTTTGGCTTTGAGATCTGTTTTGCTGACGTATGTAGACATTTCTGGGTATCTCGCACGCATCCTGACAGAGATGGAGCTTTAGATGGAGAGCTTAGTTGGAGGTATGCAACAGCAAATAGTCGGCAACAAGCCTTGATCTTGTATGGCGGTACAGTGCCCAAAACAGTGAATTCTCTTGTTTCATTTGCTGAGCCAGGTTTATCTAGGCCCGAGGATTCGTTGACGCCTTGTGCAACTTTACTCCTGCTTCTCTACCTAGTTGGAAAGCTACGCATTGATGGACCGCCGCTAGGCTAGGCCGCTGCGCTGTTGATTCCCGGCTTCCGAGCAAGATAATGGCGGGCCAAGGTTTAATGGACCCCACGTCGGTCATTATGCTGTAACTATCCGTACAGATATCTAGTCACGTCAAACGCAGTCGAGAGGGACAATGCACCTTCTTCGAGCCTTTTCCTGCCTCGGAGGTGGCCATCTTTGCATGTTTACGGATACAAGTGTAACATATTGGTACACCCGTTTACAATCTGACGCAGAGTTGGGATTTTTCTTTTCAGCTGAAAAGTCTACTGACCACGGGCGTACGTAACAACCCCCCCCCCCCTCCTTCTTCAACGCCATCAAAGCCCAGAGATTCACAGGGATTGCGGCTTGTCCCTTTTATTGGCAGTAGAGGCAGGTCATTGGGGAACCTCCTCGAGCTAGCAAAAGTGCTCCAAGCTCTCTGCATTATTGGTCCCCAGCTTTTCATCAAACAAGCGTTACGGATACAATATTACAGCACGACCCGATTAACCCTGCCAACCCCGCCAACCCGCCTATTGCGTAGCCTTTTTGTGCTTTGCTATGTGCTACTAATAATTAGTCCCGCCAAGCAAAGGACGCGGGTCCCTTCCTTTTTTTTTCAGCAGCTCAGGGGACGTGGCTATGATGTATTAGAGAGAGTGATATAATGATAATTAGCCGCTTCATGGCCATACCATTCAAAAAGTGCCCCTCCTGCCCCTCCTCTTATCCGACTTGCTCCCTTCCCTCTCTCTCACAACTTGCGCATCATCAGATAATTCGAGGCATTACTTGCGTTTTGTAAATCGCTTACTTTTTCTTCTTCTTTATTGATACCCTCTGCAAATCTACAAAGATGGACTCCTTCATCAACGCTGGCAAGGACTTTCTTGCCAAGAGTAAGTGACGACGCCCGTGAAGCTATACCCCTCATCGCGCTGCGGCCCCTCGTCTAGTCAGCGGCCGCCCACCCCTCCAAGCTCACTGGAGAGCTACCTCGAGACAGCTCAGGGCAGCATCCAGGATTGCGGAAATCTGCGCAAGTTTGGGCTTGGGGAAACCAAAGAGCTCTCAAAAGACTTTAATCCAATGTAAACTAATGGTTTTGACCTTTCAGACAGCCAAAACAGCAACAATAACAACAGCAACAGCAACAACAGCGGCGGCAACAGCGGCAGCAACAACCAGAGCAGCGGCAGTGGTGGCAACGACCTCTTCAGCAGCGTCCTCAGCTCCCTCACACACAAGGAGGATGACCTGAAGCAGGGCGACGTCGATGAGAAGGGTATGGAAGGCTCGCAAGAATCCCAAGTCTACGTTGAAACCGTTTTTCGATATTAACACCGAATTCTCCTTAAGACGCCGCCGACAAGCACGACCAGGTCTACAACAAGGGCGACAACAACACCAGCGTCAACGCCATGGGCACCGCCGCCGCCATGCAGGCCCTCAAGAAGTTCACCTCGGGCGGCCAAGAGGAAAAGGGCGGCAAAAACGACTTTATCAGTCTTGCCATGGGCGAAGCCAGCAAGGTAACGTCATTTTTTCTTTATTTTTTCTTTATTTTTTTTCTTTTTCGGCCCATGATTTCAAGTATAGAAAAGACAACTAACCACCAGTTTGCCACTTTCGACAGCTCTTCGACTCCAAGGCGGCCGACGGCAGCGTTGCCAGCGGCGCCGACAAGCAGTCCGTCATCCAAAAGGCGGCCGAGGTGGCCATGAAGCTCTACTTCAAGTCGCAGGTGGAGAAGCAGGGCGGCGGTCTTGGCGGCCTCGCCAGCATGGCCTCGCAGTTTATCAAATAAGCACAGTAACATGCACGCCACGTGGCGGTACAAGCACTTTGCTCAAGCAAGAATAATAAAAAGATTATTATGATACAAATATCAAATACACATACATGAAACAAGACGTGACAGAATGGTATAATGGTGCGGGATAGCTGGCAACTGTAATTTACATGTGCCTTCTGCTAGATTTGACCGTTGCTCTGGGCTGCGCCTTGCTGTGCAGCCAGGCCCAGCACGTCGACCCACGTATTGGGCCTTCTACGGCCTTCGGGATAGACTTCGTGCAGATATGTTTCTGCGTCGGCCGCCCAGGCGAGCAAAGCCTCCTCGGCGCCCCATTCACCCGTGGCCATCATGCCGACGCACACCCTGCCCTCGCCCTGGTCGGGGTCGACGTAGGCGACGGGCGCCGTCAGCGCCGGTAGACCAGCCAGGTTGGCGAGGAACACGTAAATCATGCTGAGGAACGTCTTGTCGCCGTCGCTGACGCCGTGCTTGGCGTGCGACGGCTTCTTCTCCCACCCGAGGAACGGGGCCGTGGGCGTCAGGACGAGCAGGCCGGGGTATTTCTGGAACAGCCAGGCCATGTGGCGCATGATGAGCGTCCGCATCGAGTTGAACTTGAGGAGATCGGCGGCGTTGGTCTCGAGGCCCAGGGCGAGGACGAGCTTGTTGACGGGACCGATGAGGCTTGTCCAGCTCGAACCGCCGCCGCCCCGGCGGCGCGCAGTCTCTGTCATCTCGGCAATGGTGACGCCTCCGTGCGCCGTCTGCGCTTCGTCAATGTACGGAATGGTAATGTCGACCAGCTCGTAGCCCTGCGAGGTAAAGTGATCGAGGGCCTTGTTGCACGCGCTGATGACGCGGGGATCCGACGCACCCCACCACGCGCGGTCGACGCCAATGTACCTTGTGCTGCCGGCGGCGGGAGGCCGCGACACGGCAAACTTGCTCTGAATGGACGTCTGGGGGTCGGGCTGCGACATGACGCGGTAGGCAATGGTCAGGTCGGCGACGTTGGCGGCCATGGGCCCAACGACGCACATGGTGCTGTTCAATTCGAAGGTGCGGTGGTGCGTCGGCTTCAGACCGTATACGCCGTTGTAGACGGCCGGGAAGCGCACGCTGCCGCCGGCGTCGGTACCGACGGCAACGGGGATGATTCCTGCGCCGAGGGAAGAGCCGGCGCCGGATGACGAACCGCCGGGGTAGTACTGGTTATTGAGGTGATTCGTAGGAGTTCCTTGGTGAGGCTTTGGTGTTTTGGTCAGCTCATCTCAATACACATTCATGAAACCGATCTGGACTTACATTCAAGCCATTGGTATCTGCAGAGTCTGTTAGCAAGGTAATCAAAGACTGTCGCTCATTGAGACTCACCCGAACCCAGCTCATGCATTCTGTTCTTTCCAATGACGACGGCACCGGCATCTTGAAGGGCTTGTACAGGCCATACAGTCACTTCCGCTGGGCTAAAGAAAGGCACACCTTTTTTGTAGGCCATTCCGTCGTGATCAATGTAGCCCTTCACGGGAAGGTCATCTTTGACACCAATCGGAACACCATCCAGTATGCCGAGCGGCTGGCCCGCGGCCCATCGCTCAGTAGACGCCGTGGCGGCCTCGAGAACGATGTGATCCGCACCGTGCGAGTCAGCCCAAGCGTCTTGGTATACGGAGGGCTCCTTGGCGTATTTGCTAGTAAGAGAGAGAAGAAGTGTGACGACTTGCAAGGGGGTGACTTGGCCCGACTTGTACATGGCATGGTAGTCGCTGGCGGTATAGTGATGCGTGTCTCCTCTATTTGGGGGATTGAGCTGTGCTTCGCCTAGCTCAACCATAGGCGCATTGTCACCGAGGGGAATGACAAGAGGCTGCGGCACGATTAGCGCTGGACTGTACGGGACTGTACGGATAGCTTGGATACTGCTTCTCACACGGGTCTACTCACGTGAAAGGTATAGGGTACATCGTCGAGAAAAGGTAGGTCTTTAATCTTTTGCAAGCCTGCATTGTTGTAAAAGATTTTGGCCAAAAAGGATGAGTGCGTCAAACTAGCCAAGGCGGGTGAGTCAAGGATCTCCAACTTGAGAAGGGGGGGCAGGGACATCAGATGAAGGCGACGTACAGACTAGAAGCGATGACGAGCGGCAAGCCAGATAGGACGGGATTGGCGTCCTTGCGAGGCTTGTATTCGGGCGAAATAATCTCGTCAATGTCTGGATAGGATAGGAAATCCTTGGGCGGCGCAAAAGACTTGGTAGAGGAGGACATGCTGTTTTGAGAACTCGGGGTATCAATCGGCGCGAGACATCAGGGTTTAGATGAGACAAAAGGAGAAAGGAGCAGAATCACAGGCCATGAATTGTTGACATGCGCGGCAAATCAGGGGATTAATAACGGAGGCTGCAGCCGGGGCGCGTCGGGGTATCGGGCTACCGTGATCCACTAGCAACAGGCGGATACGATGATGAGCAATTTGGTGACGGGCAAGAAATGCAGTGTGCTTCAAATCTGGGCTGAGTTGAATATTGGTTTTTTGAAAGACCTCTTTCAAGGAGCAAAAGATGCAAGTGCTGCTATTGTTACTTTGGTGTCATTGCCCGTAAAAGCGTCATCACCTAGATTAGCTGCTGACCTTTTGGCAGATACCTTAGGCGTCCACTAGTAGTAGGGTATCTGCACGTGTCTTGAGTCAGCAAAATGCATGATTGGAGATGGAGTTTGGTTTCTTAAATCTGAGAGTCGAGTTGAAATGTAAAGCTAACTTGAGGTAACTTTTGATGAAGTAGCGTTTGTCAATCAGAACCAGCCCGCGGCAAAGGTACGTTTGGAGCACAGGTAAAAGGTACGTACCTCTTAGCAGGGGCACCCAGCAACGACCAGTTAGTTATTGGTAGAAACGACGCGTGCGAGGGCGACGGGTCGAACCAATCTCCCGTAGCTGGTGATGGATGTCTCTTGAAGCTGAAATTTTTACGACGAATACAAACCATTTCCATCGACAGCCTGCCACTGTACTGCCAACTGTGCCCGGCTTCGGGCGCCCCCATCTCAAAAGCTATCCTAATTCGGCACTGAGTCACTCACTGCCAGCCCGGATCGCTGCCTTCGACTCGCTGGCCTGAATGAGCGTCTCCGCAACTGGAGGAAAAAAAAAGTCACATCCCACCAAGTGCCAAGAGCGTCATTCTTCCTCTTCTTCTTTCTTTGTCCCAAAGCTTCCCGCCTCACCTTTTTGAGCCGGGTTCATGAAAGCTTTCACGTCTCCATCTTCTCTCCTCTCTTCTTCACTTCGTAGAGCACCGGTTGCTCCATCTTCTTCGCGCCTCGCCGTTGCCCCTCGTCGCATCGCCCGCTTCCAACCCCGCCATCGCTACCTGCACGCTGCGCAAACACCACCCCCGCGAGTATTGACCATGGCGGCCGACGCTTCTTTTGACAACCTAGTCAAACAGTTTACGCATCTGCCATTGATTGACAAGCTTCCCAACTGCTTCCCCGACATCAACCCCGTCGACATCTACAGAGCCCACATCACCTCCATTCTCAGCGACATTACCGGCGCCGACAAGAGCACCATCTATCCCGTTCTGCAATGGACCGCCACTCTCGACAAGGGTGACTTGGTCCTCGCCATTCCCGCCCTTCGCATCAAGGGCAAGCCCGACGACCTCGCCAAGCAATGGCTGGAAAAGGTGAGTCGCCGCGCGCCTGTCCGTGCCCGCCATCGGTACTGACAGATTCTCCTCTACAGTGGCCCGAATCTCCCCTCGTCGAAAAGCCCATTCAAAATGGCCCCATTCTCTCCTTCTTCTTCAAGCCAGAGCCCATGGCCAAGACTGTCATCCCCATGGCTCTCAAGCACAACAAGGACTTTGGCTCCAACCCCGCCAACGGCCTCCGCGACCAAAACGACCCCTCCAAGGGCCGCCAAAAGATTGTCATTGAGTTCTCGAGCCCAAACATTGCCAAGCCTTTCCACGCTGGTCACTTGCGAAGCACCATCATTGGCGGTTTCCTCGCCAATCTCTACCGAAGTGCTGGCTGGGACGTATCCACCGTAAACTACCTCGGTGACTGGGGTAAACAGTACGGTGTCCTGGCTCTTGGTTTCGAAAAGTACGGCAGCGAGGACGAGCTTGTCAAGGATCCCATCAACCATCTCTTCACCGTCTATGTCAAGATCAGCAAGGAGGTTGCTGAGGAAAAAGAGCAGGCCGAGAAGCTCAAGGCAGAGGGCAAGGAGGAGGAGGCCCAAAGCATCCTCAACAATGGTGTTGATGAAAAAGCCCGCAGCTACTTCAAAAAGATGACTGAAGGCGACGATGAAGCTATTGCTCTGTGGAAGCGTTTCCGTGACTACAGCATCGAGCGATACAAGGAAACCTATGCTCGTCTCAACATTCACTTTGACGAATATTCTGGTGAAAGCAAAGTCTCCGAGGATGAGATGCAGCAAGCTGCCGCCAAGCTCAAGGAGATGGGCCTGGCCCACGAGGATCGGGGTGCGCTTCTCATGGACTTTACCAAGAGCGTTCCCGGAAAGGAGGGCAAGACCCTCGGCAAGGCTATTCTCCGCAAAAAGGATGGCACCGCCCTGTACCTCACTCGTGACATTTCGGAGCTCATCAACCGTTATGAGCGCTACAAGTTTGACAAGATGATTTACGTCATTGCCTCGGAGCAGGACCTTCACGTCAAGCAGTTCTTCAAGATTGTTCGCATGATGGGCCGTGACGATATTGCCGACAAATGCCAACACGTCAACTTTGGTCTCGTCCTCGGCATGAGTACCCGCAAAGGCACTGTCAAGTTCCTCAACGACATTCTTCGCGACGTTGGCGAGCACATGCACGAAGTCATGAAGAAGAATGAGGACAAGTACTCACAGGTTGAAGATCCCGAACAAATTGCCGACAGACTGGGTATCTCGTCGGTCATGGTCCAGGATATGAGCGGAAAGCGCATCAACAACTACACCTTTGACCTATCTCGCATGACGAGCTTTGAGGGTGACACTGGCCCGTACCTCCAGTATGCTCACGCTCGTCTGTGCTCGATTCAGCGCAAGGCGGAGCTCAGCGACGAGGCCATTGCCGCCGCCGACCTGTCGCTACTCACCGAGCCCATGGCCATCAATCTGCTCCGCGTGGTTGCCCAGTGGCCCGATGTTGTCCAAAACGTGCTCAAGACGCTCGAGCCCACCACCATCCTCACCTACCTCTTCAAGCTGACTCACACCCTCAGCACCAGCTACAACCACCTCCGCATCGTTGGCAGCGACCCCGAGGTCATGAAGGCCCGTCTGGCCCTCTACAACTCTGCCCGCATTGTGCTTTACAACGGCATGGCCATTCTTGGCTTGACGCCTGTCGAGCGGTATGTACCGAAAAAAAACAGCATACAATATTTTCTATGAATAGTCGGCTAATTTGTGTGTGATAGTATGTAAATGAGACGATGACACAACACTTTGATAAAATCTATGCATGCTTTAGCAAGCTCAGTCTAGACAAAATCTCATTTCAAAAAAAAAAAAAAAAAGTAGTATATACCAATCCGCATTCTGCGCTCTATTCATTGTATAATCTTATGCTATGATCTATGTTGATTCTATACTTGTACCACTTTGTTTCGCTGCATGAAAGTCAAATCCGAGATCCGCGAGCGTCTTGCACTCTTTTCGGCGCTCGCCCAACTCGCGACTCGCCAGCTTGATGGCAAAGATTTGCGACCGCACCCAGCTCGTCTCCTCGTCCCAAAACGGCGGCTCCTTGCCCGCGCCCTCCCTCTCCAGCCCGCGGGGCGGTCTCGCCCCTTTGCTCAGCGCATGCAGCCGATTAATGTAATCGGCGTCCTGTGGGTACGCGAGCGTATGGCGCGCACCCGGCGCCGTCTCTTCCCGGCGCCGCCTCACCCACGCCTCGCGCTCCTCTTTTGGCGGCACAGTGAGCCTCCCGGCCCAGAGCCGCGCAATGACGGCTACTTGGGCCTCGGCGAGCGGAAACGGCACCACGCGCTTGGGCACCGCGAGAAAGGCGAGCGTCGGGTCCGCAACGTACAGCATGTGCTCCCACAGGTGGTCCGCGTAGGTGCCGTCGGGCGCGAGGACGGTGGGGGCGAGGGAGGAAAGAAAAGGAAAGGAGTAGTGGTAGCCGGTGCAAAAGACGACAGAGTCAATGCTGCTTTCGACGTGGCCCGAGGTGAAGCGCACGGAGCGCGTGGCGGGGAGTAGGGAGGCGACCTGGCCGACGTGACGGGACCAGGTCGTGGGGGCGGGCAAGGAATTGTCGGTGCCGGGAGCGTCCTTTTCGGAGATGAGCACGGGAAGCTGGGCAGTGGTGGCGATTTGGCGACTAATGTCGATGCCGGAGGCGGAGTTGCCGACGACGAGGACTTTCTGCGCGAGAAAAGTGGTCAGCAAAGAAAAGAAAAAAACGGGATATCCGGGGTAAGTTTGTTGGCTTTGCAGCAAAACGGAAGTGTAGTTTTTTTTTCTTTCCTACCTTGCCGGTGAATTGCGCTGGTCGCCGGTAGAATTTCGAGTGCACAATGGCGCCCGGGTGCGCGGCCTCAAACGCGGCGATGCCGGGCACGTCAGGCACAAAGGGGTCGCTGTAGTGGCCGCTCGCGACGACGACGGCGTCGAAGCGCTCGGCAGACACGGCGCCGGATTTGATATCCTGCACCTCGACCCTCCAGGCGCTCGTCCCGTCGTCGGCGGCGACCGTCTTGCGCACGTCGCGGACCTGCGTCGCAAAGGTCGCCAGGTGCTCCACGTCCTGGCCGTACCGCCGCAGGTAGGCCAGCACCGTCTCGTGTGCCGGAAACAGCGGCGTGCCCGCCGGGAAGGCAAGGTCCGTGTAGCGCATGAGGGTGTGCGGGATGTTGGTCTCTAAATCGTCGTAGACGGGCGAGACGAGTGCCACGCGGGCGTCGGCGGCGGCGTGCCCGTCGCGGGAATCACGCTCTACTACGACGGCATACTCGTGCGCCGAGGACGGCGAAGCGCGCGGAATGGAAAAGCCTGGTTCTTGCTGGAGCGAGTTTGTGTTCCAGACGCCACCCGTCGAGGCGCGCTGCTCGTAAATGACAATCCGGGAGAACTTGTTCTCGGCGAGGAGATATCTGGCGCACGCGCGTATGTGTGAGTATATGAAGGCAGCGGGCAGCTAGAGGGATAGTGGGGGGAAGAGGGAGAGTTGGATGGGATAGGCGGTTCGTACTTGGCGGCGGCGAGACCGGCGGAACCGGCGCCGATGATGGCAATGGATTTCACATCCATGCTGGGAAACTTAGATTCCAACTCTGGCCCGGACCAAGTCTTTGGTGAGGCGAGGTGTCGAGAGACTGGTCACGGCGTAGCTCCGGGTGGTGCCGTGGCGCACGCGACGGTCGGGATGTCGCCATGAGCCGATGTGGGGTGGATGCACGAGCAAGCGCCTGTTAGAGTACTGATGGAAGGCAAAATGTACGGCATAAGGGGCAGCTACTGATGTTGAGTCTGGGCCGTTGTAATTGTGATGAGAGTGGCGAGTAGCAAGTAGGTAGCTTGAAAATCAAGAACTATCCCGGCTCTTGCTCGGCAGTCCTGTTCTTGGAGCGTCGTATGACGAGCACTTGTTGAAAACACGCTCAGTAAGATGCTTGCGACTTTATTGTTGACCTCGTATCTTGCTTGAATTTTATCCCCCCCAACTTCAATAGTGGTGTGATTTTACAGCCACGATTATCGATCGTATTAGCTAGGCTGAGCTAACTAGCTGATCGGCATCGACGAAGTGAGATGATGGCGGCCACGTACTGTGACTTACATGCTCCGTATAGAGCTGCAGTGGTGGCGTTTGGGTGAATTCGCTGCAGCCTTGGTGTCGTGTCTATCCGTAAGTGGGCGAATGTATAAAGATGCTGACAGGCTTCATGTCTCGGCGTCATCAATTGTCCAAAATGGGGCCTCTACGAGCGAAGCTGCAACGGACGCGTACCAGGAGAGCTAGGCAGACGAGGCAGAAACAATACCAATGAACAATCACATGGGCAGATGCGCGACGCATTATTTACAAAGTAAGCTTGTTTGAGGCGATAGTTGGGTCGTGTCGTATCCGGCTATCGGTACACCTTTCGTTGGTGGCGGAGCTGGGCCGATCAAACCACACTTGGGAAGTGCTTTGCTTTTTTTTAACCTATTCATGCTCGACACGACTCTTCATGCTATCGAGCATGCCAGACCGCATCGGCAAATGGGTACAGTGTTGGAGTTTCAGAGATGGGCCGAAACGCAAGGGATGCATTTAGAGGGAGCGTTTCAGACCGTATGCTACAAGGCGCCAAGTAGTCAGCCTCGATCGGCATCAGCTAGGCGGTCAATTACTGAATGTGGTTGACGGAATTGGAATGTTCGACGTGATATTGGGCATTGGGTGACGAAGGAGTCGGATCAACACTCGCGTTGAGGCGCTTAAGGAGGCCTGGGCCTGAACAGAGATCAGCGAAGATGGGGGAGGTTATGTGTAAAGACTGGTGTCGAGTGAGTCACGAATCGGCGATACTCTGTTGAATGGCTACGGCGACGCCGGGCAGGAGGCGCCCCGCGCTTTCTTAGCAAAAAGAAAGTATGGGATTTCATACAGGAGTTATTTGTCGTGTAGTAAATATGTGTTTCGTTGTTTTCTTTTGGCAAATTTTCGTGAGACTTTTCTTTTGCATGTAGTCGCCGCGGCTGTCGATGAGAAGCATGGGAGGTGGGCAAAGTTGTGAGAGTATTTTGCACAAACAGATGAGATAGGCAGGAGGGGTAGGTTCCGAGCCGAGATTTGATGTTGGTAATGTTGGCAATGTGAGGTGATTGAAGCGCGGTGATGAAAAGGTTAGCTTTAGCAGATGGAAGCGGGAGGCGGGAGCAATGTCAGAGCTGGATGGGGACGAGACACGTGCCAGGGGACGACGGACGGCAACAGCATTGTCGATCCGATAATCTCGACGTGGAGCAGAGTGCGAGTGCAGTAACTTAAAACTTATTAGTAAGTTATAACAAAGGAGATTTGGTGTGCAAATAAAAAGAGTTCTGTGTCCGTGAGCAAATGCTGCATCCATTACCCAGTAATACAAGTCTTCATAGGTTCGCGACTTTGATGAACACAGCCACCCCGCCAAAAAAGCCCGCCAAAAAGCCCACTTATAAACACACAGCGCCACGAGAGCCCAGCAATGCAACAATGTAGGTACCCACAAACTGCACCGCCCAGCGCCCAACCGCCCGCCTGCCATTGGCATGCAGGCATGCAGGCAAGCCAAGCCCTTGACTGAGGGAGGGTCGGGAATACGAAGAACAGTCATCAAGGAGAGAAAGAAAAACAGTACCCGCAGATTCGCCAGATGAACAGAGTCAGCACAAGTAGATCAACTTGTCGGCTACTCCCCCGGCTCGTGAGCGCTGCAGCAGCGGCTCTCTGGACTTTTTAGGTGATGAGCTGCTCTGCAGTATCACATATCCGTTCTCCGTACCTTGTAAGGCATCTACCGCTGCTCATGCATCCGACAGGGAAATTCCTCCCGTCTATTTTTGGTAGCTTCTGCTGTCAAGATTTTCCTTCTTTGTTTCTCATCTGACAAAACTTGTTAATTAAAAAAAAGCAGTCGTGTCCAAACAGCACGACCCTCACCCAAGGTTATATCAGTTCAGCCCGTCGCCCCGCCCCGTCCAGCCCACTACAACATGCACTGCAAGTGGCCTTTTTTAGGCCTCTCCAAACCCGCCAAAATCCCCCCAGTTTCAAGCAGCCACAGACCCCTGTACCCCTGCTCGTCCCTCACTTTGCCTCGCCTCACTCACGCCTTTCTTGGCCTCGCAACTTGTTGCTTCTTTGTCTCTCCACTTCCCTCATCCTCTCTCTCTCTCCTCTCTGCTCTCTCTCGGTCTATGCCTACCTAAACAACCAAGCTAAACTAGATTCTGCAACTGTCAATAATTCTAGACTTTCTCCTTTTCCTTTATTTTCTTTTTCCCTTTTTTTTTCCCTCAATCCACCCTTCTTTGGGCTACTTCTCGTGGCTCACTGGGTAACTTAGTTGCTTCCCCGTCAGCCTACATGCCGACCTAACAAAGGCCCCGTCGCAAATCGACACTCCTTGGTAGTCCCTCTGCGTTTCATCCTTTCATCTCAACAACCTCTTTTCACCCTTCTACGCCATCATTGTTAGCGGTCGCAGCCCTTTTCCGTCCTTTTCCTATTACATCCACCACAGTCCTTCGCTTTCTACTCTACAAAGCACGGCTCCCTCTCCTTTTCCCGGCCAACGTCGCGCTCTTCGCACTGCCACCTCGTATCTGTCGCTTTCGATACCCCTACCACGCAAACGACGCGAATTTTCCTGCTCAACTCAAGAGTTCAAAGCGCAACTCGACACCCTACCGCACTCTCTTCTTATCCGTCGCCCATCGTCTGTTTATATTTTGTCATCTTCGTCCAGCTCGCGGGCTCCTAGCCGATTCTCTCTGCGCCAGCCATGGTCGCTACCAGGCTCGAGTCTCGCAAGTCTCTGCTCGGCGCCGATCCAGGCTTTGCTGAGCAGGGCATGCATTATCAGGGAAACTACTCCCCCAACCAGGCCTACCCCGACGCCTATCCCCAAGGCCATCCTAACGGAACCTACACCCAGCCATCCCTCACCCAGCCCACCTACGCCGAAAACGCCAGCATGGTGGGAAACGATTACTATCAGGGCTACGCCGGCCGCGAAGGTCTGACGTCGAGCCACGCCCATAGCACCCATCGGGATAACTTTGGCTTCCTCAAACGCAAATGGCCCGCTGCCTTCATGGGAGTAACAGGCCTTCAGGCCATCATCTGCCTCGGCTTTGAAGCGTAGGTTTAGTTGCCGCCGCCGCCGCCTCTGTACCTCAAAATCGTTTCCGCTAACGCGTCAATGGCATACCAGCTACGTATTTGGAAAGTTTCAACTCAGTCTTGGAGATCACGTCAACGAACCCCGCGTACAGTCACAATATCTCACCATTCCAACTTTTCTTACTCTCTTCATTTTTGGTTTCCTCTACGAGCTGGTCATAGTCTGGGATGCTCTTCGCATGAAGAACACGATTCAAGTCATTGGCGTCTGCATCGCTAATCTAGCTCTGCTCGTTTACACGGCCATCCAAGTCGACCAGATTCAGATGGCAGTCACCGTTCTGGCCAGCTTCAATGCTCTTGATCACAACATCACCGCGCATGAGCTTTGGGGCGATATCAGAGCCTTTCTCGTTGCTATTCCTGCCATTATTGCCCTTACCACCATATGCATGGGTTTTTGCGCGTGGAAGCTTTACCAAGAATTCGCCTGGGATATTCTCAAGAACATTGGCGCAGACTATCGCATGAAGAAGCGCTTCCTCCACTATCAAGTGCGCTCGTTCCTGCCCAACCCCTTCCAATTCACATGCTGACCTCGTACAGATTTACATCGCTCTGCTCAAGTTTGACTTTTTCTTCTTCCTCGGCTTCATCATCCAGTTTGTCGTTGTCGTTGCCAAAAAGTCCGATCCCGAGTTCGCCGTTACCGTCGCCTCCATTCCCGTCACGATTGCCATTCTTCTCGCCGCCGCCTTCTTCACCAAAAAGGAAAACAAATGGGGCATGGCCGTTACTCTCGTCCTCTACGTTGGTGGCCTCGTCTACTTTGTTTTCAAACTCGTTCGCATTTATCAGCCCGGCTTCAAGGAGCTGTACATTGCCGTCCGCAAATCTTTGACCGCCTTTGCCGTCATCACCATCCTGCTCATCCTCCTAACCATTGTCAACGGCATCATTTGCATGCGCAACTTCGGTGCTGGCCTCAAGCCCCATCTGCAGACCAGCAGAAAGGTCGAGGAGAACCCTGATGCCATGTCTTTTAGTCTAAACGACGTCAAGGCTGCTGTCCCCAACCGCATGACTATTGAGTAATACCTTGATATGGATGCCAGGTAGCTCCATCGACATGGATGGAAGTGTACAAGAGAGATTTGTGTGACGACATGATGACCGGAATGTCTTTTCCCCCACCTTCGTTTTTTTCGGCTTGTTTCTGACGCCGGCCGCCGCAAAGTGATCATGGATCTGGAGCGGGCTTTTGCATCCAGCGCTTTTACTGCACGGGGCCGTGTATCAATCAATCGGCCAAAAAGAAAAAAAAACATGATATCCCCTGGGCTTGCGAGCCCGATTGCTTTATTTCATTCCGCATATTCACAGTGTTTCATTTGGCGCAGAGATCTGGACCTAGATGACCGCGCACACTCTTTTTCCTCTTTCTTTTTCCTTACTTGTGCTTTCTTTCCCTCTCTACGAAATATAGGGCGCTTTTTTTTTTTTTTTTTGGAAATGTGAATGAATTGCTTTAGCCAGAAAGCGCTGCACAATATAGACTAGCTAGTACGATTTGGTTGAGGATGGTCCTCTGGCCAACGTTGACAGCTTAAAAGACGATATTTTGAACATGACGACTTGGTCCTCTGCATAGCGGCAAGTGAAAGTGCAGACATTGTGTGAGCAGAGAAGAGGGCAACAGTCATTCTTGACGAAACGCGAATACAAGTTTCAAATCAATATCTCTTTCCAACTTAAAAAAATTTGCCTTGACAGCGTGTCTGACCTTTCCGGGGAATATATAAGATACCAAGCAACAAGACTCCATCAAACGCCCAACTCATTAAACCAGAATAAAATCAAAATGTCGTAAATCTGGATTACTCTCCTCCAGACAAGAGTCGTTACTGCAACCTTGCATAGTCAAACAATAAGTCGGCGCTGTCTGTGCCTGCTGTTACGGGCTGCGCTTGCATACTCAGCTGTTCAATTCCGTCCACGAATGCTCCTCATATCCGGCTCTCTTCAAAATTTGTCATCTTTCTTCTCTTCTCCGACGCCTGCATTTTACAGCCTGATGCGAATGGCGTCCTTGATGTGGCCCTCGGTTGGGCAGTACGGGCACTTGCATCGCGAGCCCTTGGCAATGTTCTTGAGGCTGTCGTTGCAAATAACGTGGCCGCAAGGCAGCAGCATGGGGGGGTTTGACTCAGTCGTCTGCTCTTTGCTAACGGGACAGACAAATATGGGATGGTAGATCATGGACGGCGGCAGGGGCGTCTCGAACGCGAGCTCATTCTCCGTCGTCCACTCCGTCTTCTTCTCGCGCATGTACGTCGTGTACTTTATGAGGCGGGGCAGCGCGATGGCGCCGGCCGTCACGGCCACGTACAGCGGCGACTCGGCGGCCAGGCCGAGCAGCTCGCAAAACTCGCGGGTGAAAGAAGCCGAGACGTCGTCAAAGGCCGAATCAATCTCAAAGATGTGCCGGTACGGCGAGGCGTCGAGGTTGGGCGCATAGACCATGGCGCAGCACAGCTGCTGAATCTCGCGGAGGTGCCGCGACTGGAAGCGGCCAAAATGCTGGCGGGCGTAAAGCAGGGCGCCTGCGTGGCCGTTATGCGCATCGTCAGGGAGACCGTTGACGGCGGAGCCCTTGAAGAGCCACACGTACTGCAGCTTGCACAGCTCAAACTCGAGGTTGCTGCCCTTGGCCCAGAGCCGGCCGTTATTCTCGTGCGCCCACTGAATGGCGGGTGAGAGGTTGCGGCTGCGCAGCTCGCTCAGGATGCCGTACATTTCGGCAAACTTTTGCTGCAAGCCGCCGTGCCGGCCGTCGAGCTGGGCCGTGAGGCTCGCGAAGGTATCGTCATCGTCGTCGTCGTCGTCGTCGTCATAGTCGACGTCGCTTTTAAAGGCTTCGATACCGATCATGTCGTCGTCGCCGTCGGCATCGACCTGCGACGGCGTGGGCGTCTTCTGCGACGGGTGCTGGGCGGCGTCGAGAGGGTTGTCGCGTGCTTCCCGCACAAAGGTCGAAGCCACCGAGAACTGACCCTCGCGGAGGAGGTGCATGGCAATGGCTCGGTTTATCAGGGCGGACTGGTCGGCCATGGCGTCTGTTTCCATGGGCAGGTCGCGTTGTGGGAGGGCCTGCGGCGGGTGTCAGTAAACACGACTGTATGGAGAGAATCGGGCTGGCTGCATCGCGGGGGTGGTACCTTATCCAGAGCCTTGCCGAACCCTTTTTGAGCTTTATTGACATCTTTTAAATCTGTATTGATCGCTTCGAGCCGAGACTTGACGGGGTTTTGCAGCGTCGTCAACGCCATCATGATTCTGTGGCTATCATCTTCTGTCGGGCGGTCAGTCTCCGTACAAAGCCCCAATGACATCACCCGATTCATACCGGCAGCTACTTGCTCGCGAGCAGCGCTTAATAGATCAATAATCTTGTCAACATCGTCGATGGCGGCAGATAAATTTGATTTTCTCATCCTGGCCAGCTCCAGCAAGAGCGGCCCAAAGGGCGAAGTGGTGTCGTCTGTCATCGCTGGGCGGATGACTGTCTTTCGGGTGGCGGACAGAAGCAGACTATGAAACAGTTGTTGCCGGAACTCCTTCCAAAGAGATACGGCCGAGTGTTGAATATATCCTGAGTTCCGGCCTACCTCACAACATGGCCCATGAAGCAGCACAAGGTCAAAAGTTTACGTCGTAACGCAGCAGCAGAGAAGCGCGGGCCTTTGGTTATCGACGAGGTCTATTTAGCCTGCAGTGAATCTTGTACGTACCTAGTCCGAGGTCGAGGCTGCTGGGCGGGCTCCACCGCTGGTATGCAGCTAAGAGGTGGCGTCCTAGCAAGAGCGGAATTGAAGAAGGCGAGAAGCGCTGGATTCCGGTTCCCGAGACCAGACCATTTTTTTCGAGTGCGATGGATGGCAGAGAAAGCACAGAGAATCGGGAGCTCGATCTCGACTGTGCATTGAAGCTACATGCATCCTATTCACCAGCTGTTGTGTGGTAAAACAACGGCTGAGGTGCAGAAGACTGCCTCGTTTTGTGCAATTGCCCCGTTAATAAGATGTTGCTCTTGAATCTGCTAGTGGGGTGCTTTGAGGCGGTGCATAGGTAGCCTCTCATTACCTAACTACCTACCTAAATACTACCTAGTAATAGGTATGGCACTGGTATGGATACTCCGTACAGATGATCAGATCCATGCCCTCTGAAAACAGTACCGCTGTGTACTCCGTATTTAATCCTGGTAGTACGGAGTATAAATCAAATACGGCCGCTAGCAATTGGCTCCGGCGCCTGCCCGCTTGTCCTACCTCATTCATGTGCTAGTTTCGATCACGCTCGCAAGCTGCCAATTACATCACATGCCACACCATTGCTCGGCCTGGTGTGACGCTCGCTCGCCTCGACGTCAAGCCGGCACTGTGCATTAGCAGATCATTTGCGCCCGCATGAAGATGTCGCTATAGCCCATTGTCTGCCTACGAGGCTGCTCTCACACCGCATGTCCTTCATGATGCCCGTGCCGGCGTCTCAGGACGGTCGACACCAAGCCCAGGAGCCATCCGCGCCCCCAAGAATCATTGAGCGCAGAGCTTCCCAGCCCAGTGCCCGCGGTGGCCCAAACTTTTCGACAGATGCGCAAATTCAAGATGCGGCGGCCCAGGCTTTGACAACCGCCGTTATGCCCAGGAGACATGTCATCTTTCCTGACCCGGTAGCTTTTCGGTACGTTGATCAAACGCCCCGTCGCTTCGGGCACCTGGATGACGGACGTTGACTTGCGACTTTTCTTTCCTCAGATTCCTCCAAAACGAGCCCCATGTCTCTGTCGTTGAACGGCAAACTTTCCTCTCCGGCTACGAGCTCTACCTGGTTGAACAGTGGACATGCTCTCGGAAATCGCCTACGCTGGTAGTAGTGACGCATACCGGCGACAATAAAGATCGGATTTCTGCTGGTATTCTTGCCATACCTGACGACAATACACTCTGGTCGACAAGGTTGCAACTGTATTTCAAGGCCGCCAACCAGTACCATGCACGTCCCAAGGAGACTGGCATGGGCCAGCTGCTAGTCACCAACCTCAGCAACTTTCCTTCCTCCCTGACTGTGATACCAGTCCCGGATGGCGATATTCGAAGACATCGACAAACATTCATTGTCAATGAAAACTTGAAACGTCTGGGCTGTGCCGGTCGGTCGGGTCTCACTCTGACTGAACCAACTGAGGCGACGCGATCAAAATTTTACCAGCTATACAAGACATCTGAACGCATCCCTTTTATGCAGTCTGTGACAGACTTAGTCAAGCTCTGCCAGGTCGCGCTATACATGTTTCATAAATTGGAGCCGGAATATATTGACGGTCTCCTTTGTGACGTCACAGAAGCCGCAATCGGCGACTGGTGGACGGAGATTGGCGCTGAGCACTACAATTATGAGCCATCCGATGGTATTCTTGGGCCCACGACTGTTGCTGCGCTGCTTGGTATGCTCATGGGTGCCAGAAATCGTCTCAGCTGGCTGGGCGCACCAGTGTCCAAAGATGTATTCGACCTGGAAAGCACAAAACGCGGCATTTCATACTTTCAGAAAGCGCAAAAACTTGATAGGACTCGACGGTTGGATAGACAGACCTTATTCCGTCTCCATAACTCTACTGCGAAAGCCGCCGCCGGTGAAGCGTGGGGTGTTCAGAGAGCTGTCAATTCTACAGTAACCGGGATTGGTGGCAAGAGGGGCGAAATTGTCATGGACATGGTTTCTGGCAAGGACAAGGGTGGTCTTGCCGACGTAGAAACGCTGGACCTGGACAGATTTATCAAACTTGCCTATGGCGAGCATGTAAAATGGCTCTGGCATGGCAAGCAACGCAGAGCTCCATTTGGCTCGCGAGATTTGGATCATGAGCTTGGTGGTCTCTTGCTCGGGCGAAATGACTTGTCCAATCCTGTTTCACGCATAGCTACTGCGCCAAAAGCAGACGACGAAGCCGTTTTCAGAGGCTCCGAGGATCTCCAGGCTATGCCACCGAGTAGGATAGGCACAGGTGCTACCTACGACAGCAATGGCGATCGAGACGGTAGCCGCAGGGCTGTGTTCAAGAGCGTGGCTGGAAACGCCAAGTCTGGTCTGGGTCGTATCAAAGATGCCGTGGGAGGTAACCGAAGAGGGCATGGGCGATGGCCATCGAATTTCAATAGAGACGACTTACCTGAAACTTTACAGGGTCTGCATATGGGCATGGACACTGCGCGCAGTTCCGGCATCGTCACTGGTCCCGCCACAGTAGGTAGAGCTTTCACTTGGAAGGAAAAGCCGGAAGAATACCTAGCAGCACTTCGCCGCGGAGATCCAGATGCGCTTCGAGGGTTGCAGGGCAACGTGACGGAGCCTGCTTCTGCAGATGCAGCATTTTATCGCGGCAGCATTCAGCCAGGCGATGTGTTTCGAGGTTCGGACACTGATCACCTTGAAGTTATTGGCGCAGAGGTTCGTGACGAGGTGCTATCTCGAGCACCGTCAGCTGTGCGGCCAACGATCGACGAAGCAGACTTTGAAGGGCCGTTATTGGAATCAGAACGCACGGGCGACCAAAGGTACCTGAGGCTGTGCCGTCGACATAGCTCACCCAGTCACGCCACGGAGGCTAATCTTGCTCTGAACGAGGACCGCTTTCCCAGAAGGTTGTCCTTTTCCGATGCAGAGGAGGCGATACTTGGCTGGGAAGACATCCTTCCTATCAGCGACTCCACCGCTGACGATGTCGGTGCTACAGCCGCGCAGACCGAGATTCTTGCGCAGCTCGCCCGGCAAGTCGATCTGATGATCAACAGCGTGGGGCCTTGGGTCGGCGAAAAGATCAAGCTCGTAGAGGCCCTCGACGAGCGCTACGGCAAGGACTTGGCGGAGCTACAGGCGCACTATCGTCAACTCAACGAAGCGTGCGAGCGCGTGCGCATGGACTCGGAGGGCATGATCGCCGATGAACGGCAGAGTCTCCAGCTCAGCATCAAGGAGCTGGAGACGATGGTGGCTCAGCTCGAGTACGAGATTAATGCGCTCATGTTCAAGGTGAATGAGGTGGAGGAGGGTATCGTCTTCTTTGAGCGGCAGGTGGTGGATGTGGAAAGCCGCGCGAATGAGCTCAAGACGCAGCTCGAGACGGAGAGCTGGCTGCACTGGTTCGTGAGGACGCTGACGGGTGTGGGAACGGGGCCCAACATTACTCGTTCCCTGTAGAATCTGACTTGTACTTTTTTCTCTTTGTCATTTTTTCTGACGAGATAGATTGACTGACTGCTGCATGCGCGGAGTATGGAGCATGGCATTTTTTGTATCAGTATTTCCGTTTGAGAGGGTCTCAATCGAGCACACCCACGTGTTTTGTTTAATCAATGCCAGATTGGGGTTTCTATATTACATGTGATTGATATAAGTCTTCATCGTGTCTATACTCTGTTTTCTTGGCTCCCAGGAGTGTAATACGCATCCCAGCAGCAATACTTTCAAAGGGGAAGTTGGGACGCGCTATATAAGCATCCATCCCTTCTTCCTCCCATCATGACATTTTTCATACCAAAATGCAGCTTCGTCCGTTCTTTGCGGGATTGTTGATTCTATTATACAGTGATGCGACAAAAAAAGAGTTCGTATCGTGCTCTGATCCTTTCTTTCTCGGCGCTCGCAGCATTGTGCCAACGATTCAGCGAAACCGAGGGTGCATGCCCTCTTCTTCCGCTCACGGATACTTGTCGTTGTCGCCCTTTTAATTAGAAGAGGCCTCCGCTGGGAGCGGCACCGCCCTGCTGCGCACCGCCCTGCGCCTGCATAATCTCGCTGACCTTCATCGACGTGTCGAGGAACTTTGCGGTGCAGCGGTCGAGGCAGACGGACTCGCCCTTGTTGAGCTCGCCCTCGCGGTAGTCGGTGGGGATGCACTTCTTCTGGCACGACTTTTGAAGACTGTGTTTCGGGGGGGGAGAAAGCCTTGTTAGCCTTGGCTCATGCGCCTCGCGCCGGCTCGTGTGTTTTTTTTCTTCTATCGCAATCGGTAGGGAAACTGCGTGCGCAGCGGCTTTTGCAGCGGAATCCTCGAATTGCGGCGTGGCATGTATATACAGATGCGACGCTGGGGTGACTTTGACGCAGATGGGGTTTGCTTACCGGTTATAGGTATCGGCCATCATGCGCATCTCGCCCTCGACGGCAGCAATCTTCTGCTCCGAGGTAGGTTGAGGGCGGCCCATTCCAAGGAAAGACATTTTGATGAGTTGTATATGGTGGATAACGGAGAGACTGGGATATAGGCAGCGTGTGGTTCAAATAGTTCGTTGTCGGGCTTTTGCAGTGTGCGATGACGATGATGGCTACTAGCTCTTGGAGCTTGCCTTTCTTTCTCCTTTGATATCAAAATTTCCCGGAGCGGCCCAGCGCAGGGACTATGATTACGTGATGTCGTCTTATCGATACGCTATCTAGGGGTGTCCAAGGTGTGCAACGAATAAATACCCTGCACTGTCCTGATCAGGATTTGAAGGGCCAACGGAGTTCTCGGGTGATCAAAGTGCAGCAGTCAGTATAGTTTGATACCTAATTCCGTCCCGTTTGTCGTGGTATTTTGTAGATCAACCAGGAGACAGACAGGTGGTTATGAAGCGACAATGACTTAACCGCACCAATGACAGACACTTGGCGCGGCCCCGCCAGCAGGCCAAATACTGTCCGCGGCCACCATGGGGAAAAAAGAATAAAGAGGGAAAGATACATGCGGATCATGCAAAGAATTCTGCTTTCAATGGCGCGTACATGCTAGACCGCGGAGCCTGTGAGATAATTCATAGCATTTATGAATTACGCTTCGACCAAGGTTGGCTTCATCTGAATATCAATATACTTGGATCTATGTCTTGGCTTGTATGCGGCCTGGGAAGCGATTGATAGCATTTCCAACGACTGAGGTTGTCGTGGCTTGAGTTGGTCACGTCTCCTTCTGAAGCAGAGACGCATCTAGGAATGGCTGCGGGACAGCGTTTGTGTTGATGTAGACGGGTTCTGAATTGGGTATCAACAACGAAAGTTATTAGCGGGCGAGCAACTCGTGCGGCGGCGGGACAGCGAACGGATTTCTCACCGGTCTGTGCATGGGACCCTGGGCTCGTCAGTAGCTCGACTTGGTTCTTGGGTCGTGTGGAGTGAACGTGGGTGAGGCCCGTGGAATTGGCCTGGGGCGGTGCCAGCTTCAGCGCCCTCTTGACAGGCGGGCGAGCCTGTTTGGGGCTAGCCATTTATTTAGATGTGTGGGAAAAAACGAGGCGGCGCGCGGGCAGCAGCAGCAAGCGGTGGGAGGGAAAGCAGGCAGGCAGGCAGGCAGGCAAGGAGGGGAGGCACGGAGGGCAAGGTGTGGGTGGTTGGGGCGGGATGCAATATGCACGTCGGAAGCGGCACTGACTGCGGGCTGCAGTGATACGGTGAGAGAGAGCGGGAAGCGCTTGAGAAACGATTGAATTCGAAATGATTGAGTAGAGAAATGATGATGCTGATGAGGCGAATTGCGAGGCGACCGAGAGATGGATCTGAGATGGAAATTGTAAATTGTGTCAAAGTCAAACCACAGCAGGGTTGATGGGAATCAAGGAATCAGAGCTGAGGGCTGGCTGCTGGCGGGGCAGCTGGGGGAAAAAAGAACAGACCAGATGTTCTCGCTGCAAGAGGATGGGATGCTGCGTGTGCAGACGTACAGATGGGTGGTTGATCATGGGGGTTGATAGTTGCTGCAGCCATGGCATGCAAAGCGGGCAACTCTGCATATTTTTAGATAGATAGGCCGGAGCTGGCCAACGGCATGCCGACAATTACATTTTAGGTCACCATCGTCGTGAACGTGCGTCTCCAGTTTCCCCCAAGCCACCCACTCTGCATCAGCCCCTCCCCCCAATAAGCCCCCCTTCGAAATCCAGTTAAATTTGAACAAAAGGTAAATATGGAAAGGAATAAGGAATGGAAGCCTTCTCCAGAGGCTCGGCGCATCTCTACAGCGCAGTCCAGCGGTGGTTTTAGTGGGTTCCAGCGCCCTTGGTATGACCAGTCCCAATAGCTTGCCTGCCCGTATCTCAGCCTTTCTCAGCCGGGGCTGGGTAGCCACACGTGACTGCGGACCGTCGACCCAGCCAATCATGCTGTGCTAATGGCTGCAAGACTCACTTTATAATGCGGAGTTCTCCGGCGATGGTCGAGTCGCGTTTGGTTTTTTTTCTACAGGAGGACTTTAGGTACACACTAAACAGTGACTGTGCCAGTGGTATTTACCAATTCTTTAGTGGGAAGCCCCCGCTTCAACCCGTGGGTTCAACGGCCCAGCAAGCGCATGGAAAATATTGGCAGACGGACAAGTGGGCAAAAAGACGGCTAACCCAAAAGGAAAAAAAAAAAAAAAAAAAAAAAAGAGAGAGAGAAATAGAGAGAGAGAGAGAGGACG